AAGGTATTAGTTGATATATTTGAAAAAAGAAAAATTTTGTCTAAACTTGTGGCATTTGCTTCTGATGGTGCTTCAGTTATGCTAGGAAAAAACGAAGGAGTGGCTGCAAAGCTTTCTAGAATTTGCACTTATCCTTTAATTGTTAATCATTGTGTGGCTCATAGATTGGCTCTAGCATGTAAAGATGCAAAGAAAGAACTTAGATTTTATGAAGAAATCGAATCCTTGGTTAGAAAAATTTACAATTATTTTAAAAATTCATGCTCACATATTCAACAACTGCAAGAAATTCAAAGTCTTTTGGATGATCCGATTTTAAAAATAAAAAAGTTGTATGAAATACGATGGCTTGCATGGTATGATGCTATTAAAAATATCTGTAATTCAATCCCTGCATTACTTAGGATTTTCAAAGAGTCAAAAAATAAGGATGGAAGGGAATTATATGAGCGGCTAACATCTTGGAGAATTCTTGCATTTTTGTATTATTTCTATGATATTTTAGAGCATGTAACGCAATTAAGTAAATTTTTACAAAAAAGAAATTTAAAATTTTCCGATATCGATCCCATGATACAGGTTACAATCAACTCTATTCAAAAGGAGTATATTCTATTAGATCAAAATCAAAGATTCGGACAAAAAGTTCAAACGTTTATTGATGAAACTAACCCATTTGGAAATTCTTCAATAAAATATATGAATAATGATCTTTCATTTATTGAACAAGATTATGATGATTTTACAATAGATATACTTGAATATTCAACAAGCATTGTTAATGAACTCCAGCAAAGATTTCCTACTCGGCAATTATTTACTTCTATGAAAATATTAAATCCGCGTGAATGGCCAAAAGAATCTCAGGAACTATTATGGTTTGGAGATAATGAGTTAGAAAATATATTAAAATATTATGAATGTCCAAATTTTCATAATAATATTCAGTTACCTGCGATTTTTGATATTAACAAATGCAGAGAAGAATGGGCAAGGTTTAAAATGATTATTACTAACAATTTTGCTTCTAATGACATAGAGGTAATACTTCCTCTATTAATAGAAGATTATATTGATGTATTTCCGAATATTATCAAGTTAATTCAAATAGCTTATTGTATTCCCTTTTCAAGTGTAGAATGTGAACGTGGTTTTAGTAGACAGAATAAAATTAAAACAAAAGACAGGAATTCATTAGCTACAAATACGTTGGATATGTTAATGTGCATTTCTTTGGAAGGGCCAGAAAGTAAGGAGTTTAATTATAATCGTGCATATACAATATGGAGTAACCAGAAAAGACGTACTGGCTTTAAATAATCATATTGTAATAAACTACTGAAATAATAAATAATAAAATAAAGATAAAAAACTTTTTTGCATTATAAATTTATTAAATAAAATTTCCGGTATTTACAAAATATTCCGGAAATCTGCTACATCATGACTGGAATAATTCCGGGATTATAAGATTTTACCGGGTTTATCAGAAATTTACCGGAAAAACTGGTTAAATTATAATGGATTTTCTGCGCTGCCTGTATTACGTATACAATTAACTTATTCTTTGTATTAAAAATAGTAAATTTTTTTTATACAAACATGTTTATAACTTTGTTTACATATTTTTATTAGATTTTTTTAATGTGAAAATAAATATATATTATATTATATATATATATTAAAAAATTCTATCCTACTACGCAAATATATATCTGACTATTAATAATTTAATACTCTGCTATGCATAATTATATCTGACTATTTAAAAATTATGTTATCAAATAAGCAATAATAAATCTCACATAGGAAAAATTTTTATATGTTGGTTAAGCAAACTCAAAACCTACCTTTATATATATTATTCAGGGTCCTTCTAAACAACCTTTCAATTCTTCAATAAACACGCCGGTTTGTTCTGCGTTATCTCTTTCTTCGACTCTCCAATATGTATCACGTATTCTTTCCATTAACTCACTTACGGATTGTCGTCTATTTACTATTGCATTCTCAGCCTCGGTTAATCTTGACACTGGCACATTCAAATCTATTTCACGATACATATATACATCAAACCCAGTCTCATCAAACATTCGCTGAAATTGATCCCATGTATCGGGTGTCAATAGCTTCGCATCTCCATACAAACTTTCATGAAAAATGTGGCGGCAAGGCAGCAAGTACCGATGAAAAAATACACAATAGCAGTTTAAAGATGTAAGTCCCAGTGCTGTTTTTCCTTTTTCTAATCGTCTATCAACAGCGCAATATTCTTTAATAATCATTTGTTGAACAGGAAAGGGGAATTTATGGATTTCAGTGAGAATCTCGTCATCAACACCAATGAAAGAGATTTTTTTGGTGCGAAATTCATAGGCGACACGTTCTGAATCAGTCCGTTTTTTGTCATCAAGCGCAACTATATTATTGCATGCACCTGAACAAAGTTTTGATTAGAATTGAAAATATTTGTTAAAGATGCAAAGACAATTACCAATTAACCCGTGTTTTGGTGAGGTTGTCCTCTTTAATTCACTATGATATGACTCTAAGTTATTCGTTGAAGTCACCTGCAAAAGTAGGGGAGAGTGCTGCCTCGCCCAAAGTGCCCATTGGTGCGTATTTTTTGCGTAATTTCTTAAAATATATTTCTTGATTGTCGGATTTGCACATTCATTGATTGCTTCTTGAATAAGGCTTTCACACCCGATCCTAGTCCTTTTGTGCATGGCATGAAGCATTTTTTGTCGTGTCTTTTTCTCGTAAATTTTGCTCATTCAGGTACGCATGACATGCACCGTGCAAAAGAAAACATCACACTCTTGTTCACCATTCTTAAGACCCGGAAAAGCCATTTTAATAGCATTAGACTCTATATTACTTTGGTCAGAGAGAAAATACCACGATGAGCGAATCGTCTAATTGCTTTCAAACCCGTTGCAACAGTTTCACTGTCTTCTTTACTTACGAAAAAGTGGGCCCCAACGTCCTAACATCCATAAGAATTGCGAATATATAAGGTGAACAAGCGATAATCGTATCTATTTGTCTTGTGTGTTGAGTCTATAAGAGATAGCCAGCCATGTTGCTCAAGGTTTTTGAGATGATTTGGATGCATAAAAACAAACCCGTAAGTGGACAGGTCAGGAATTTCATAACGTTCAACCAAGTATCCTCGATTTTTCAAGAAAGAAATGGCCTTTCGAATATCTAATTCTCTCTTAGGATCACCAACAAGATGTGTGTCAAGAGGTCCACGTACCTTATACTTTATATTCGTAACTTCCTTCCGTCTCAACTCCTTAACACATTCACCTAAATCCAGTGTTTCAGTTGCAATCTCCTTAACTGCGCTAACGATCTCTGGTGGTCGATAGTTTTTTACGGCTTCTTGCATAACTAATTCACGAACAACTTCTGAGCGTTTTAGTTTTTCACTATCTTCAATTGGGTGTGAATGATCAGGTGAATCTTTAAATCGTTCAATTCGTACTTTCTGTTCAGAAAAATAGCGTTGAACTTTAATTTTTGCAGAACATAAGTCAGCAGGTCGAATTTTCGTTATGTGACATTTCTCATTTGGAATGTCTTCTTTCCGGGTACTTGACTTATTATGTTTTTTAAACCGACAAACAAAAACTTTCCACAAGTCACCATTAACATTATTTTTACAGCTAAAGCTG